TGGTCCACGATGGAAGCTGATTGTCACCAATATGCCAAGAAATGTCATAAGTGCCAAGTATACGCCGATAACATTCATGTACCGCCCGCACCTCTCAGTAATCTGGCTACACCATGGCCATTTTCTATGTGGGGCATGGATGTCATTGGACCCATCGAACCTAAAGCATCTAACGGTCATCGCTTCATATTGATGGCAATCGATTATTTCACCAAGTGGGTTGAAGCGGCATCATACGCACACGTAACCCAGAAAGTGGTGACCACCTTTATCAAGAAAAACATTATATGTCGGTACGGCGTCCCTCATAAGCTCATTACTGACAATGGGACCAATCTCAACAATAAAATGATGGAGGAATTATGCCACAATTCCTCTCCGTACCGACCGAAGATGAACGGTGCAGTAGAGGCAGCCAACAAAAATATCAAGAAAGTTATTCAGAAGATGGTGGTCACCTATAAAGATTGGCATGAAATGCTTCCTTTTGCCTTGCACGACTACCGGACATCAGTTCGAACCTCCACAGGGGCCACCCCGTTTTCCCTCGTATACGGAATGGAGGTCGTACTACCAGTGGAAGTCGAGATACCCTCTCTGCGAGTTGTCATGGAAGCCAAATTGACCGAAGCTGAATGGGTCCAGAACCGATATGATCAGTTGAACCTAATAGAAGAAAAACGACTGGACGCCATATGTCGGGGGCAAGCTTATCAGCGGAAAATCAAGAAGGCCTACAGCAAGAAGGTCAATCCACGCACTTTCCAAGAAGGAGATCTAGTAGTAAAGAAACTACTCCCAGCCCAGAAAGACAAAATGGGGAAATGGGCAGCCAATTACGAAGGACCATTTGTGGTCAAACGAGCCTTCTCAGGCGGAGCCCTTATCCTCACCAATATGGACGGAGAGGATCTTCGATACCCTGTTAACTCAGATGCGGTGAAAAAATACTATGCCTAAAAGACATTGCTCATGACCCGTCAGGATGAAAACTCGCAAAGAGCGTCCTGGGCAAAAGATAGGGCCTAAATACCTCGCTAGGATACGTCCTAGGCAGAAAGTAGAGGTGCAAAAAAAAAAAAATTAAAAAAAAAATAAAATGAAATGATGAAAGAGCAATAATTACCTTAGCCGAAAACCGCAAAGGCGACTAAGGTAATACCTCCACAACAGCAAGCAAACTTCGCATAGTCTTCACTCCGGGCTCGGGCATCTCAACTAAAGAGACCAGGAGAAATGGGGAAACAAAGATCACAGACATGATTGTGGTACCCATATACAGTTTAGCCAACCCAGGCCAGCCATGCTTACAAATTCTTTTGTAAAACCCCCCATGTAAAAACAAACCATATGGTTACATCAATAAAATTGTCTTTTCTTCTCTTTACCTACTTGTATAAATGCCTCTATATTAACGAAATATGAGCATGCATAAAACAAGCGATTCGAGGAAGCATAAAAACAATAGACGCACATCACCAACCAGGGTTGTCCCAAGAAAAAATACAGGGTAGCCTGCTAGATCGAAAACCCGCAAAGGGCGGTCTAGGCAAAAGATAAGGCCTTCGAAAAAGAAAAAAAAAGCCCATCAAAATGCCTCACACAAAGAATTAAAACCCGCTAGATCGAAAACCTGCAAAGGGCGGTCTAGGCAAAAGATAGGGTTAAAACAAAAAGTGTAAAAACAAGAATCACAAGAAAACAAAAAGAAGGAATGTACCGATCACTTTCTAAATGTCCTCAACTAAGATAAAATTGCATTAACAGCATCCACACACAAATAGTTGCACAAAAATGACTTTGTCAAAAGTAAAACAAACAAAAATACTGTAGGAGAATAGAAAGCATTCAGCCTCATGCTTGAATTCATGAAAAAACAACAACCAAAGGTATCCCGGTATGATTTCGCCGACCTTTTACCTTCTTTTACAAAAGCCAGCATAGCAAAAAAAAAAAAAAAAAAAAAAGGGAAAAGGCATACGCTCAATAAAAAGCCAAAATCCAAAATCGCGAGAAAAAAGAAATGAAAACCGCGAAAAAAGGCAGGATTAAAAGACTACCTCAACCATAAAAATCGACTACCAAGCAAAAGTCAAACACAAAGAGAAGACCCGACTAACCAGCAAGAGTCGGATAACCACCACAAAAAATCAAAAGAACAAAGAATCCCCAGCAACCAACAGAAGTTGGATGAACAGACCAGCTTTCCAGCAACCCGGATGACCATTCCAGAAAGGTCCAACCACAAAAACACAGAAAGTTACATTCTAGAGAACTGGCGCATGATCAGAATCAGTAAGCCGCCACCATCGCCGAAGGACCAGCTACCGCAAAAAGGGGCGTCCAGAGGCACCAAACTAGATGGGGGTTCGTACTCATCAGCCGAAAGGATCAGCTACCGCAAGAAGGGGCATCCAGAGGCACCAAACCAGACGAGGGTTCGTACTCGTCAACCAAAGGATCAGCTACCGCATCGAAGGAGCATCCGGAGGTCAAACACCAGATGGGGGTGTAAACTCATCAGGCCTTACAAAAGGGGGCTTACCGGGTGGGGGTTAGTACTCGTCAAACCAGATGGGGGTTCGTACTCATCAGCCGAAAGGATCAGCTACCACAAGAAGGGGCATCCAGAGGCACCAAACCAGACGAGGGTTCGTACTCGTCAACCAAAGGATCAGCTACCGCATCGAAGGAGCATCCGGAGGTCAAACACCAGATGGGGGTGTAAACTCATCAGACCTTACAAAAGGGGGCTTACCGGGCGGGGGTTAGTACTCGTCAAACCAGTTGGGGGTTCGTACTCATCAGCCGAAGGGGTCAACTACCGCGTCGAAGGAGCATTCCGGAAGCGCACAACACATCTCCCCAGAAGGTCATCCGCCGCAAAGACGGATTATCTGAAGGGAAACCGGGCAAGAGGGTCAAATCCTTTACCCTCCAGTCGATCACCTCAGCACAAAAGGCTAGCAGTCGACTGGTCGGGTAAAGGGGGAGCAGCTGTAGACCCCAAATCTTGCCCGGCCTCCAAATAAAGTCAGAAAGCCTCCTATTTGAAGACGGCCGAAGCCTAACAAGCCATTAGGAGAGACTATTAGGCCCCCGTACTAAGATAGGAAGGTTTTTTGGCCTGAGAATAAAGTTTCTCGCCCTGAAGGGACGAGACCGCCGTCTGGGAATACCAGACCGCCGTCTCGTTTCAGCGCCAGGATGAGACCGCCGTCTCGATTTTCCAAACGGCGGTCTCGACACTCGCAAATTCGAGACAGCGGTCTGGGTTTTCCAGACGGCGGTCTCGATTCCCGCCAAGTCGAGACGGCGGTCTGGATTTTCCAGACGGCGGTCTCGACCTGCTGCCACGAACGAGACGGCGGTCTGGACTTTCCAGACGGCGGTCTCAAACCTGTCAGCAGAGACGGCGGTCTCGACCTGTCAGGCGCGAAAAACTATAAATAGGGGCGTCATTTCTCCCTTTGGACACGCAGCTCTCCCTTCTCTCTAGATTTTCTCTCTCTAAGAATCCCTCCGAGGCATTTCCGGAGTTTCTGAGCGTCTTTAAGTATAGACTGAGCGTTCTAAATCTTCTTAAGAATCCCTCCGAGGCATTTCCGGAGTTTCTGAGAGTGTAGAGTGAAGGGTTGCCAAAACGCACCCTCTTTTGAATATAAAAGCTTGCTTTGGAGGTGCATATCCTCACTCTCCTTTTTTTTTTTTTTTAAATTACTACTATTTAATTTATGCAATAGAAACTAGGGCAATGTAGTCACATATTTAAATTCCGCATAATAAAAAAGGGTAAAAGCGCAATTTTCCAAGTTTAATTATTCACAAATAAAGCCGGCCTGTCATAGGGAACCCGAAAGGGGCGTCGTAAAGGGACTAGCACTCCCTTTACACGTAACTAACTCCCTTACCCAACTCTGGTTCTAATGACCAAAGTTGGTTTTTGAAAACCAACGCCTTTTAAAACCCCTTTTCCGATGTTTATGGTAAAAATATCGGTGGCGACTCCATAGAACCCAAAATAAATAAGTCTTTGGGTTAGCCCGGTTGTCGGACAACTCAAGGACATTTTTTTGAAAACCTCGTCTCTAGGTTAGCCCGGTTATCGGACAACCTAAGAACGTTGTAACCACCTATAAAAACGCGAAAACATAGAAGGGTCGAAAAACCATCGCGTCGCTCCGACCGCCCTCTCTTTTGGGAGGCGGCGACAATAAGGTTAGATGAATTTAAATGATGTGGATGATTAGAGATCGATATATCATTAGAAAAGCATGGAATTGAACCTAGGGATTTGGGTTACGAAAGTAGACAAAACTCTTTGAGGGGTAATTAGATTTTCATAAAGCATAAAGGATCTACTTAAAGAATTGAACATTGTTCTTTGGTAATTAGGTACATTAATGGGGATTTCGAGAGAAATACATTAATCAATTAAGGAAATTCACCTTAGAAATAGAAGTTAAATAATGGGAAACGAATTGCATTAAATTGAGTACGTAACATATGAACCTATCGACTCCTAAGAAAGTTTTCACTTTAAGTCTCTTGTCAATAGTTTTTTGTTTTCTATTCATTTTGCAATATATTCTATTTGAAATGATTTGTTTGGATAATTGAATCACTGTGTACCGGTACTTGGACATAATCTCTGTGGGAACGATAACTTTTTATTACGTGATACCCTGTATGCTTGCAGAATGGGTATCAAGTTCCAATCAATTCCATATATAAGATCCTATATTGTTTGATTTGGAAGCATGTAGTACAGAGTTTCACTTAATATATTTGGAGTTTTCTGTAAACAAGAAAGTATAATGCTGGTTGATAAATCTGGGACAGAGCAACATCAACATGTTTGGGAAATCCTTTCAGGGACCCTGAGTCAATGAAGTAAAAGATCTGTAAGAGTTGGAAAACATTGTAATGAAACAAATTATATCTAAAATTAAGAAAGAATAGCATAAGATTTGCTCAGAACTAAGCTTGCAGTGTCAAACCTAAACATGCCAGTTTTCAGGATCATTTTCACTAAAAACCCATACTGAAGGGTCATCCTCTAGAACAACTGTATAATGATCCCTGAGTAGTGTGGACTTGTTCTACAGTGAAAGTGAATCAAACCCTGAATGATAGAAACACTTGCCTGTTGCTTCAAGAAAATCATCTTGCTGCTGGCATACAGAGGCGACAAAACACACTTTACTGAAGAATGTTTAAAAAACTTCCTGGTTTCCTCATCATGAGTCTGCATCACACCAGTTTGCACAAAAAGTATCAGAGCAATCAGCAACCAATCAAGCATTCTAACATATTACAAAAAGGAAAGAATGTAAAATGCCAATGCCAAGTAGAGCAAAATCCTAACTGTCTTGAGTAAAATCTTATCGTGCGAAGTTTTATCATCCAAAACTAGCCACATCACTCTGACCCCTTCTTCAGACTTACACTTCAGCAACTCTCCAAGCGTCAAATCACCTCATGGCAATGTCCTAGTAGGCTCTCTAACAAGCTTCACCTTATGGTAAATCGACCAACCCACCAAATACACCATGTGATGAGCCTCAGATATGGCATAACAAATATCCTCCCAACACTTCCCGTGCCTATAAACCTCTCCATTCTCAAGCTTTACCTTAGGTAACTTCCCTTTGACAGATTCCGGACATTGCGCACCTTGATACAACCTTACTGAAATCCCCTTTCTCACCATTCCTCACTCCGCAGTGCTCCGGATCCGTTGCAATGCCTCGTTGGTAAAGCAAATTCTCCTCCACCGTCGTGAATTTCATCTGCACGTGCAATGTTGTGCCGACTTCCCGGACGACCCAATGATAGGAAACCAATTGAAAATTAACTAGCCAGTAGCAATCAGCCGCACCATAATCTTCACGGTTCCCATCGTTTGCACGCCAAAAACGTCGTCGTCCTTCACTCGAAACTCCAAATCCACAACTGGATGCGCAAGTGGGATGTGGAACTGCTCTTTCAACTCAGGGTCCTAGGAGTTCTTTAGCACTCGCATGCGCGCCACCGTTGCCTGTGACACTGAAACTATCACGTACGGGCCGCTCGTGATGATCCTCCTGTGGTGGCGCGTCCGCTGGCTTTCGCCGTGGGCGGAGACGTCGTCGGAGTGGAATTTGATAGTGTCACATGTTACTCAACGACGGAGACGCTCCGAGAAGATGTCCATGTTCAGCAACTATCGTGCCTTGATGATTTTCAAATCAAGGTCACCATGAATATAGATGATGTCATTATCATTGTCGCTGCCAGTGACCGCCATAGAAAATGTGTGCGTTATCCCGTGCGTTGAGTGTATATAGTGTTGACTTTACACCCGGAGCGAAAGATAGTGTTTTAATATAAAAAATAGATAAGTACTAAAGGTTTAGATAAATTTTATAAAAAAATATTATTTATAAATTTTTTAACTAATTTAAATATTATTAAATAATTTCTACAAATTTAAATATATAACAAATTTATATAAAATAATTTTAAATATTTATCAATTTTTTTAGATATTTTTTCAAAAAAAATTATAATTATTTCTAAATAATTTATTTCAGATAAAAAAAATAATTTATATATATAATTAATATATTTATAGTAAATTTGGTAAAAATAATTTTTAAATAATTTTTTGCAAAAAAAAATACAGAGAATAAATAATTTTTAAGTAGAAAGCTCACTTGTATTTGTAAGAGATATATAAAGAAATCTCTATTAAATTTGTATTCAAAATGTGAAAGAATGGTTTCCAAGCAACTTAATACTCTTTTCAATTTGATATTTACTATAAATTTATTACAGTTTAGCTATGATTGTATGTTACATAATTTAGTTAGGAAATAACTTTAAAAAGTAACATAACTAATATTTATAACGAGGGATTAGTGACAAAAAAATTTCTACCTAAATTATTTTTCTGTTAAGTGAAGGAATAACTACAAAAATATTAGTCTTCTAGTTATTTTACTACAAATTAGTTACAACCTTATTTCTTTACTATTCCATAGTTAATTAGCTACAAATTAGTGAAAAGTAAATTTTGTAGCAAATTTTCCTAGCTAATTATAAAATTTCTTGTGGTGTAAGAAGGAATTCATTAGTTTTTCTAAGATATACAAAAGTATTTGAGAAATTGAAATTATATGAATGATTCTTGTTTAACATTTCCTCAAATCAGGTCTCAAACTTCATGTTTTTGCTTCAACATAACGATAGTGAGTTAACAATATCACCAATTATCATTCACACCACTTTGAATTTCCTTTCTCTTTCCTCATGCTTTGCATTTATCATTTCGGCTTAGTCCCAATATTTATGTTTTCCCTTTCCTTTTTGCTTTATTCAACTTTCTCTTTTATATATATATATATATATATATATATATATATATATATATATATATATATATTTTAGAATAACAATACCCATAGGAAAAACAATAACATTCATAGTCATTTCATTTCTCAAATATAAAAGGTGGATAAATATTGTTTAGGCTCAAGGGTTCTGTTTCAAGAAACAATCTTGTTTTTGGCTCAAATGGGGTTCAAATGGATTTCCTATAATTAATTAATGCAGGGTTGACTATTTGGTTCTGGATTATATATACTTTCACTACATAAGAAAAAACTGCTTTTATCATTTTCAAGTCTCGCTAACATGCAATCACATCAAAGAATCAATCAATATAAGTTATCATCATAAAGTGTGGACACTCAATTTATCTGTTTTTAGTTCACTCCTCTCTTGGGTTTCAGCTAGCTTCTCTGATTCAGTTAATTCCTAGTTCTCCTCGTCAATTCCTTTTTCACTATCATACTCATCACCCCAAAATCACTTGTTATTGGAAACAATCAAAATGATTTTTCAAGTTTCAAATTTGAATTAGACAATGAGCTATAATTTCATATATGGTTTTAATAACAATGTGCGGGACAACAAAGGAATTTAATCACATCACATTAAGAACATTAAACAAATTGAAGTTCCAAATATCAATTCAAAATATCACAAACAAACCAAATTAACAAAACAAAAGACTTAAAACATCAAATTAACAAAACAAGGAACTTTAAACACATCAAAATAAAAAGAAATTAAAAAGAAGTAAATTGTCTCCCTCTTATTCATCTTCACTTGATGTTTCTTCTTCTTCCTCTTGTGCTTCTGCCTCACCCCTCCTTGAAAAGTTGGATTGTCCCTAGGCCATTGAACATAGGCTGCAAAGTCTTCTAGAGAAGTCCATTGTGAAACTGGAGCTACCTGTAAAGAAAGTCTATAAAAATCTTCATTTATACGACATTGACCCTGGTGGTTAGCTGCCAAAGAGAATATGGTTGGAGAGAAGTGGGTGCTCGAAATAAGTTTTTGGGAAAAGTGAGAAGCTGAGATGGGTTTCTGGTTGTTAGAATCGCGCAGCGGAATGTTTGCGTTTACGAACAAAAACCAAGAGGGGGGGGTGAATTGGTTTCTTAAACAAAAATTAGGGTTTTAAAACTTTTCCCAAATTTCACCGATTAAAATGTTGTGTAAAGTAAATAGAGAAGGGATAGAAGATTACACAGTCGATTTATATTGGTTCGGATCAAAAGACCCTACGTCTAGTTGCTAATCACAGTTATACAAACAAATTATAAATGAAAAGATAAGGTAAAGAATACACCTCTGTTGAGTCACACAAGAGATGAACACCTCCTTTGAATCCACAAAGGATGAAGAACAGCTTTCCCTAGAGATGGCACAACACACAATCCACCAAGAAAACCCACACAGTGATTCTTATCGCTTCTAGCCCACACAAGGTTTCAAAAGCCCCTTTTTCCTCCCAACAAACAGTTCTCTGGCAGTCACAGCTCTTAACTTTTGTTCGAAAAATGTTGTTCTTTTTACAGAGAGCCTTAGAGAACCTTAAGTAGAGAGATTAAGGTTTGAGAATTGGGGATTTTCAAAAACAAATGAATTCGAAATTGGGTTTTCGAAACTTGGTCCAATTTTGAATTTCGAAACACATATCTAACTGAAATAATTGATTATCTTGAGTGTTAATCGATTATTCCAAAGCCATTTCCACAGAGGACCAAAAACTACATCATTTAATCGATTAATAGGCCAGTTAATCGATTAACAACCCAATTAATCGATTAACAGGGCATTTAATCGATTATTCCAGAGAGCAAAGACTGAAAATGATTTTCTTTCTGTAATAATCGATTATCCTGCCATTTAATCGATTATTCCAGTATGTTTTTGATAAAAATGAGTTTTTAGAGCTTTTAAAGAGTGGACTATGTGCTGGCTATCTTGGAATCTAATATTACAGACTCAAAAACATAAAAATAGAGTTATTACATAACATCACAAGTCTTCAAATCTTTAAGTCATTTATTCTTGAATCATCATCAAAATCAACAAGCTTCATATCCATGTATGTTCAACATTCATATCCTTGTATGTTTCAACAATCTCCTCCTTTTTGATGATGATCAAAATTTCCTTTAAAGTCCTTTGTAATAACCTGTTTTATCTGTCACAACTAACAAAAACATTAAACATACCAAATAACATTTATGTTGAACATTCAAGGACTTGACGTTGCACTTGATGAACATGAAGATTGATGATTTTGATGATGATTCAAGAACTCAAAAACTTAGAGTATTGAAGACTTGTTTTGTAGTGTAATAACTCTGTTTTAATTAGATTGAGTCTGTAATTTTAGAGTTTGAGATAGCCGGTACATAGTCTGCAACTTAGAAACTTCAAAAAGCCCAAATATATCATCCAGGCTCGGCTTTAATCGATTATATAAGGAAATAATCGATTAAAACAGTGAGAAAACCATTTTCTGTATAAACTCACTGCTTTAATCGATTAAAACTCAAAATAATCGATTATTACGTCTGATAATCAATTAAAACGTCTAATAATCGATTAAAACAGAGAGGTTTTGGGTTCTGTTATTTTTGGCTCTGTTTTAATCAATTATAACTCCATTTAATCGATTATTTCAGTCTGTTTTTGTTTTTAAATTTCAAATTAACCCTATTTTCGAAAACCCAATTACCAAGAACCCTAGTTTCGAAATCCCCAATTCCTAAACCCTAATTTCTCTACTTAAACTCTTCTTTGGCACTCAGAAAGAAAGAACAACCTTTTCCATACAAAAGTTAAGTGCTGTGAGTGCCAGAGAACTGTTTGTTGCAAGGAAAAGGGGCTTTTGGAACCTGGTGTGGGCTAGAAGCGATAAGAATCACTAAGTGGAGTTCTTAGTGGATTGTGTGTTGTGCCGTCTCTAGGGAAAGTTGTTCATCATCTCTTGTGGATTTCAAGAGAGGTGTTTTCTTATCTTTATCTTTTCATTGTAATTTGTTTGTAACAACTTTGATCATAGTGACAACGTTAATCCTCTGTTGAGTGATTAGCAACTGGACGTAGGGTCTTTTGATCCGAACCAGTATAAATCTCCTGTGTAAGATTCTCTTCTCTTCTCTATTTACATTTACACAGTTTTTAATCGGTAAAATTTGGGGAAAATTTTGAAAACCTAATTTTTATTAAGAAACCAATTCACCCCCCCCTCTTGGTTTTTGTCCGACCACGCGATCATTCCGCTGCGCGATTCTATCAAGTGGTATCAGAGCTTGCTTTGATAGTCATTCAAATTTTCGAAAATGGCCGGACAAAATCAAACTTTTGCCGAAGGTGCGTCTATCAACAGACCCCCACTTTTTGCGGGTCAAAATTATCCTTTTTGGAAGGTACGTATGCAAATATTTTTAGAGTATGTTGATAGAGGCGTTTGGGACGCTATTTTAAATGGTCCATATATTCCTAAAGTAACTGAGAACGGTGTTGACGTTCCCAAATCTTTTTCTAGATGGACTGCCGAAGAAAGTAGAAAAGCACAATTTGATGTTAGGGCTAGAAATATAATTTCATCTGCTCTAACCCTTGACGAGTTTTATAAAATTTCAGTTTGTAAAAGTGCACAGGAAATGTGGGAAATGCTAAGGGTGACCCACGAAGGAACTGACGATGTCAAAAGAGCACGTAAAAATTCTTTAATCCAAGAATACGAGATGTTCTGGATGCAACCAGGCGAAACGATATTTGACGTACAAAAACGTTTCACTCATATCGTGAACCATCTCACCGGACTAGGTAAAATTTTTGACGTTGATGAATTAAATGTTAAAATTTTGAAATCTCTGGATAGGAAATGGCAACC